TTAATAATTTTTAAACGATAGAGCCTCGAGGATTTTAATAATAACAACATTATACAGGGCGCACGTCAGTCGCGGTTTACGGTAAAAATAATATGCGTTTTACTCTGACCAATTTCGTTCGAAAACATATTCTATACAGAGCTTAATCTATGGATACATACTTTTCGTTTTTTCGTTATCCATGTCCACCATCTGATACTGCTTTGTGGGCGGCGAAAGCGTGTCGGTATAATTATAGAGAAATTATTTTTAGGATCGATCAAGAGTCCCGAAATGTTTAAAAAGAAAATATAACAAAATTTGTTGATACGATCTGATAAAAATGTTTTTATTATTCAAAACAAAAATAAATAAATAAAAGTTGAAAAACCTCTTATTTTATAAGTAATAAAAAGCAGTGATAATAAAAATGTTTACTGATATATTTTTTAAGACAATTATAGTATGAGCATTTATTTAGGGCCATTTACATTTTTAGGGTGTTCATTAATATGTGCATACACTGCGACCAAAGTCTGCATACGCCTATGGGATTGACATAGTTATATATTTTATTGGTGTTTAACAATTTTTCGGTCTATGATAGCTCACTGTATAGCTTGTGTATAAACTATGATCATATTTTAAAATAATGTACGATTATTTTATTCTAATTACCTGATATTTACATCTATCGACTGATCTTTTGGTGTTTCCCACAACCTGATTTAGATTCCTCGCAACACTATACTACAATTATAGGAAATAGGAACATCTGCAATACCTATGGGCTATGGGTTATGGTATTTTTATTCAGATCGATCGGCGTTCATATTTCGTATCTCGTTTTATACGTTATATATTATTATATAATATTATTATGTATATTTTAATATATTGTGTGTGTACACCAAATTTGCGAACCGAAAGCTACAGATGAAAATTAGGTGTAAATTGATGAAAATTGTCACTTGGCAGTGTCCCGGCAAGCGCGTACAGTTAATAAAACTGAAACGGCGTTAATTGAATTATTTGTATTTTACATCCATCTCGATGTGCATAGCAGTTATTTTCGCTGGACTGCAATAAATTATTAGTTTATTATGATATATATTTATTAATTTATAATTGCGTAATTCTTTTAACAGTATGAATTTATTTCAAAATACATATTTTTTTGGAAAATTTTAAACACGGGGTCATAACATTTTATATCATTCACCAAGTTCCATTATAACAGTTAAAATGAATTATATTAATCAAAATACTTGTGGAAAATTGTATCTGTAAAATATCGAATATCGAATGAACAAACAATATTTGTTTTTATTATTACGAATTTTTTAAGGTTTAGAGTTTAGATGTGTAAGAGCGAAGTGCCACTCAATTATGTTACTATGTTAGCCACCCATGTAATATAATATGTAAGTTAATGCTGATCATATTTTTAATTTCATAAAATATTATACAAAATATATCATCAGTTTTCACTGTTCAGAGAATCACACTGTACATTATCATCCCGTGACGACGTAGTTAATCGATTTATTGTTTGTCGTCCGTTGTTGAGGTGTCAATTATGGAATGAAAAAAAAAATGACTATACGTTAGGGGATAAAAGTATTCGTATATATATATATATATTCTATGAAATCCAGAGGCGTATTTATAAGGATGATACGCTTGTACGAGGGTTGTTTACCGGTCATGCAGCAGTTTTACCTGCGTGTAGATTATTTTACCATGACTGGGGAGATGAGCGTTTTCATTTTTCCATCCCTAGTTTCTACGTATAAGTATAATAATTAATAACAAATAATTAATGAAGGATACAAAGATTTGAAATATTTAATTTAATCTCGATTAATATTTTTTTTTTAAGACACATTTAATGTTTGAAACTCTTTAAAATCAAAATTATAAATTCTATACTTCAAATATAATAATATTAACGATTATTATTTTTTTGATTGCTGTCGTTATTTCAGATTTAATTGTTTTGGAAGTTGCCCATTAATAATATTATTTTAATATTATCTTCTCCGCTTATTTAATAATATATTTGCAATTGAATAATAATCCAATTTAAAAAAAAAAATTCAAAATAGGTAGAAAAATGAATGTAAGGTAATTTCCGTTTTTAATAGGTTTTTAAATCCTTCGATAAACATTTTTTTTTATTTTAGAAAGAAATGGAGTGTTATATTTTATTTAAAACAATTATTATTGTATTTATATTTAAATGGTTTTTAAATTGTTGTCAGTATATTATGTTCTAAATGTAAAAAAAAACTATACAATACATAATATTATATGCATTTTTAACCATTGTTTTATTTTATGTGGAACATCAAATACGGTGTATGAGACCGGCAGCTGTTGGTCAGCTGAAACATCTAATGCTCCTTTAAATAATGAATATTTTTTTCTAAAACATCTGAATATTCTGTTTTTGATTATGCCATGTTTATTTCTTTTAATATTCCATCCTTTCAATTTATATGAATATTTTCTATACAAAATAATTTCGATGTTTCACATCTGCCAGACGTCCCGCGACAGCTCACTTTTTTATGTTATCATCAGGCAGTGGTTATCTATTCATTACAAAATAATGTCGAAAAAACAAATCATAATATAATAATTAAACAAAATATAAAATATCATAATGAAGAATACTGTGCCTAATGCAATAAACTATGGCCCATCATATTATCATACATTACCTACTATAAATATATTAGGAAAACACACACACACATTACGGGCGTGAGTAATAAATAATACGTTATTTTATTTATTCGCATAGCGTTTTTATATCACCGTGGTATGCAATGATAAAATCCTAAGTACGCCTCTCCTGTCGGTTTTTCAGGATGGTTTTCAATACGTGCGCATTTCCAAAATCTTCGATTGAACCGCAAATATATTCCTGAGTTTTTGACATTTTATTATTTGACAAACTGTAACCCACTCGCATTATAACAATATAATAATATTATACCATTTGCGCACACGTATACGCATTTTTATATCTATATGACTATATAGGTACACGCATATACCGTCTCCGTAACGTTATCGAAGTAGGTATTTTATTATGTCGTTAAAATTTAGATTTAACAAAGTATATGGGTATCACCATAAGATATATATTCGCGTTAGACACCGCCCCAGCCGTTATAGCCTTAATAATAATAATACCATATAATATATGTAGGTACAAATATATGTATAATGTATATGCGATATACACATGCGACAATAACCCGACCTAACCCAACGTAAATCTGCATGCCATAGGCACGAATATGAATGCGAAGGTCAAATGCATTCTCTGCAGAGTGAGGATATTATATAATTGTTATATGCGCCTAATCTGGTCCAAATCACTTATTTTTATTTTATTTACTGAAGATTATTTGAATTTATAATACATAATACGGGATTGGTGAAGTAAGAAAACCACTAGATTATATGTGTCTTTTAAGTTTAAAAAATGATTTAGTTCAGTTTGGTCGAAAAAAAATTTGTTCTAAACAAGTACTATACCTAACTCATACCGCTTATATAATATCGAAGTTGGATTTTCACGGGTTTTCAAAGGCATTTCGATGAACGAATAAAAAAAAATATATATACCTTTTATAAAATACAATCAGTATTCCATTTTCAATCTATGGATGTGCTGCATGAAACTTTTTGATCAAAAGTACTGACCTCGAAAAATACCATTAAAAAATTGTAAAACCAATACTTCACTCACCCCGCTAAAATCTCATATATATATATACTGGTATATATTATTTTTATATATGTTTCAAGTTTAATTTATAAGGCTTAACAAATCTAAAATATGAACTCATATTTTTCAATACTGTGTTGAGAAAAAATTATTTAGTACACACATATTTTATATTTTGTAAATAAAAAATCTTCAACTTGCATGTATCGGTGGTTTCGGTTCCACGATTCTTTATATAGTTTCAGTAATAATGATAATTTTGGGCCACTTCCGCTCAACTATAGTGCAAAGTTAAAAATTCAGTCAGATTTCAAAATATTTCTTTAATTTTAAATGTTCTACTTAAGGGGCCGTTACAGTTACATTTGTTTTCTCTGTCTTACAAGTGCATAACATAGCAAATTTTACGCTAATCAAAGCACGTTTATTTTCGGTTAGTTTAAAAATTAGGGCGAATTAATATCTTATAAAATGTAAAGGCAAGATTATTATCTAGACAATGACATAGGCTTTTTATTATAATTTAATTTTAAAGTGAGTTATGTGTATTTTAAAATTGTAAACTGTTTGTACATCTTAAAATACTCATATAATAACTATATCAATAACTCTCTTTAAAATTAAAATATAATAAAAAGCCTATGCCATTGTCTAGATAATAATCTTGCCTTTAAATTTTATAAGAGGTAAATTTGCCCTAATTTTTAAACTAACGGGAAATAAACGTGTTTTGCTTTAATTTGGTATGTTACAAATGTCACTGTAACGTCCCCTTAAATAATTGGTATTGGCCGTTGTGTAACGATATTATAATATCAATAAAAAAAAAAAAATATGAACATTTATTATTATGAGTGAACGTAAAATGGAACCACAGAGGTGTAGTTAAATTGCCTATCTAACACGCCGTGTCACTGTAATAATAATAATTGTATTATTGAATAGTATTTAAAAAACAAATTGTACCTATGTCTGTATTGAATTTAAGTAACACCCTGGTAATATACTATAGAATGATTTAAAAATACGTATTGAATAAATTAAATAGAAATCGATATTTTTGGATATTTTAAGAAAGCTAGGTTCTACTTGTATTATATTTAGGGGGCAATTAAGCTCATGTTTCAACTTTGTTAATCCTACAAATCCCAACACCACCCCCCCCCTGCCTTAAAGTTTAATATTATAAAAATGTTGTTAAATAGTACTAATAATTTATATTGTCGTATAATATTATACTGAATGCGTTCTGTTTCTCTTGTGTCCCGCAGGTAACATGTTCGAATGCGACTGCAGCCTGCTGTGGATGAACCGATTGGCCGTCGAGACGAACAACGAACAGGTGATGCGCGAGCTGACGTCCGCCCAGTGTCAGATGAACGACACGGCCGACAACGACGGCGGCGGCGACTTGGCCGATTTGAAAGTGGCGGGCCCGCGGAACGTTTACAGCGGCGACAGCGGAGGGTACGGTGCGAACCAGGTGGACGCCGAGACGACGGTGGACAAGGCGATATCGGTGGGAGGTGGAGGAATGATGGGCGGGGCCGACGGAGGGTTGCCCAAGTCGTTCGACGAACCGCAGGTGGTGGCCATCAGCTCTTTGAATGAGGACACGTGCCCGGGCAAGGAGCAGCCGCTCGTGGACGGGGCGCCAGATGCTGCCCAAAATTCGGATCGCGTGCTCTGGGAGTCGACCAAGTCAGCTTCGGCGGCAGGGTCCACTCTCCAAGCGCCACTGGGTAGGTCGGCCCTGCCCGTCCTCGCTTTGGTCTTCGCCATCATCATCCGTTCGCGTCGCTGTTAGGCCGACAACTATACTGCACGTCCTCTCGCGCGATCATATTATTATATATATTATTATAATAATATTATAAACTTACATAATTACATTTTATAATAAGGTATATGTGTCTGTGTGCATGTGTGGGTGTACGGGGTGGCCAAACGTCAAACACGAAATATGCGTAAACGATATCGACACGATAAAATTCAATAATAATATATGAAAACAAAAACACTGCGTATGACGTAGGTACCTCGCCTATATAATAATATGTCAGCCATCGCGGTTTATAGCCGCGGTTATATTATATAGTGGCATTAATAATATTGTATTTTCCTTCGCTATTTTAAATCAAATCTATATACATCAGCGCGGTTTCCAAATCGCTCTACATTTTGCATTATTACCCACTATATATTATATAGGTACTACGCAATCCACATGTTTGCAGTTATGTCGCTGAAAATGCATTTTTCCAATATAAAACATCGACTCCGTCGTTACACGCTGAAGTATTATAATGCAGTTATAATGTAGGCACGTACTCACGAAAACAATACGATATTATCATACAGGTAGGTACCGTACACGAATTTATTGTTTATTTTCCTATACTCAGCCCGCGTTTTTTACGAACATGATTTGAAGAAAAACACATTCTGCACCGTTACAAATTGTAACGTTTATTAAAATAATATATAATATAAACATTTAATATTATAACTGTATAATTTTTATCTACAATTGATAAAATAATAATATTAAGTGATTAACGTGGCCTCAATTTTAATATAATATATAAAGAACGATTCAAAGAACCTACAGAACGTATAAACATTAAAAAACGGGAAGTGCGGCCACCCTTAATATTATATATAAACATATTATGTAGTTTATATAATATATATTACATAGATTTAGATATACCTAGATGGCTAAATGTGAGCATTATATATACATAGTAATGATGAAAACCAAAATTACTATTATTATTCATTCGTGTTATCGTAATAATAATATTCTTTCGTCACTATAATATTATATTATCGTCTGCAGTTTTGGCATAGTACGCATAATATATTACTAGTATTATTGCAACAGTCAGATCATAATAATATTTTAGTTGTTAATTATTTCTTTCGATCGATATAATTGTATTTAAATTTAATCACGATCGCAATAGAATTATTGTGCATAATAATATTACATTATGAGACTTTTGTACCGAAACACAATGTCCGATGACGGTACGATACATCGGTAACGTCTGACCCGGAGGTCACAGCCCATACTCGGCGATCAACAAAAATCAAAGTAAGCAGAAGTAAAATCTAAAAAGAATTAATGCAAATCACACAGAAACCTACGTCGGTGCTTAAACTGTAAAAAAAATATATATAGGCACCGAATACGATGAGCGATTTAAATATATAATAATAATAATATAATCTAATGCGTCTATCGGCCGCGGCCGTGGCGGTCGTTTGTAATAATAATATCATTACACGGCCCCGTTAACATAATATAATACTCGATCCGGAAGACGGGTGATAAGAAAAAAAATTGTGTTTTTTTACGAAACGGAGTTATCATATTTCCCGAGAGTCTGGAACGAAATCGCGTGTTAATATAATAATATAGTGAACGTGAATAAAAGCTGCTATATTATATTATATATCTCGTGTTATCGGTTTTTTCCCCGTCGAAAACCCAAGAATGGACCGCCGTCCGCCGACTGCACTGCAATATCCTTCGATCTTGATGCGAGAGCGACTAAAATATATAATAAGCGCAACAATAATAATATAATATACGCAACAATAATAATATAATACGAAATGATTTGAGAATGAATACATATTGTAGGCACCTGCAGTGGGAGATTATGCTTAGATTAAGGGGTGGGGGGCTGATCATTTTATATATAGAGGATGCTTGACCAGGATTCCTCACAAGTTGGGTGTGCTGATGCCACGCTGGTATATAACATTTTAGACGACACTTTGGCAACAACCTTCAAATACAAATTAAAATTATTTTAATACGCGGTCATACGTCTTACGCATACCTATAAAAATTCTAGAAAAGAATTTCTTTTTTCCTAAAATGTCGAGAAGAGCCACAACCCCCTCACCACTACTGCGTTAGGTATAAGGGATGTATTTTAGTCGGTATAAGATCTGACAACGCTTCGAGATGTAACCGGATGTGAACATCCGGAACGTCGGAACACCAAGAGCCATGCTCCACCGCCACGTGTGTATCGCCTCGGACGACTATAATAGTAATAATAATATAATAGGTATACAGTTTACTCTACGGTATAGTATTGGTATGTGTAAATATATTATTTCGTCGTATATGATATTATTATTACTACACACATGTGCTCGTATTAAACTTGCAACTGCAGTTGTCGAGATGTAATATGCGGTATTATATTGTATAATATTATATCGTTGCCATCTACACGATGTACTACATTGCGTTATGCCGTTATATTCCTCATATAATATTACTATAATAAGCGTTTTACTTCTGCAGCTTTTTTTCTTCTCTCTCTCTCTAACAGCAGATCTGTTATCAAATGGCGCCCTTTCTCGGTTAGATTACTACAACGATTTTAAGCGTGCATTATAATATTATTACACTCGTTTGTTCGTCAACGTAAAAAAATTGCGTGCCCCATTCGATAATTGCAATTATGTTTCTCGTGAAACTTTTCGCCTTTTTTTAAACTCTTTTTGTTTTAAAATTAATGTTTAAATGTCCAAAATCATGAAACTATTTTATTATGATGGTCACATGATTACTTAATTCAATAAAACTAAGGCTCTATTATAGAAAATTAATATAAAATAAAAAAAAAAACAGTTTATAAATCCATTCCTTCAATGTTAAATGATAAATATACATAAACATATTATATGTTGTATTATATACGTGTTGTTTAAAATAAAATAATATTAAATTTAATGTCATATTTTTTAATTAACTATATATAAATGTACGGTAGAAAAAAACCAATTTTAATTTTAAACATCCATAATACATGTGCTATATTATTATATATTAAGAAATTACTATGTCGTTTTATGATTCTTTTAATGTTGTGTTATTATAGAGATTTCTTCTCATTAACTCACAACTATACATAATAATATATACCTAAATAATATCATCTATTGTAATTATAAATAGATAACTGTACTATCGTATTTTAGTCAACCGATATAATATTTTTATGTGTTTAACGCCATTACGCGGACTTATTTGTACATACATTTTTCTCTTCATAATATAGTTGTAATATCAGTTATTTATAAGGTTACATATTATAAGTCATATATCGAGTGTAAAACGTATTAATATGTTATATAATGTTTTATTCATTCACCGACCTATAATATTTTATTATTTTGTACTCGTGCATGTGTGTACGAAAAATTAGAACGAAACGGACACGTTGGAATCACTGGAAATTAAAAGTGGAAAATAGAAATGTCTACATATATATTATATGTAGGTACACATTAAGTTAGTGTATTAAGTTTCCAAAACACGTAATGACTATTATTAAACCGATCCTAAAAACTTAATACCTGTTAAAACCAATATTCGTTTTGTATCAAATAAAAACCGTATTATATATTATATTATACATGTTACTTTTTATGTACGTATTGAATGGTTTTCCTCTAGTAATATTATCCATATTCCTCCCTACTTCCGGTTGGAAAACAATCACTTGTCATTATATTATATTTATAGCCCGTTAATATAATAACAGCAGTGATCGCCGCCGATTTTGAAGAGGAGCCGTCACCTAGTGGTGTTCAATTTAATTATATTATATAAAATATAGGTAAGTACCTACATAATATAATGGGTTTGTATATGATATTATAAATTTTTTTTACCTGTAGTACGTTAGGCTGTGGCCTACGTTTGGGTAAATATTTGTCTGCCAATCATTTTAGACGATTCCAAACCTCTCGTCATTGTATAGTCGTTTCAAGTGGGTGTTATTTGACACGGACAGCTGTAACCTATAATAGTATATATATATAATATATAGGTGCCGTTATAAATATGTGAAGGCTATACAAAAAAAATAGATGCGTAAGTATAATATTCCTATACCTTTCCATTGCAGTTTCGTACCGATAAATGTTATACACAACTACACGAGGCGAGTTTTTTCGACCAAATACCTTAACACTCGTTTTCTGTGCGCAATTCGTCTGCGTAGAAATATCAACATGTCGTATGATTGCACAAAATTCTAAGAACAGATTCAGTCAAAGGAAAATTGTCATGGACAAAAAAAAATGTTCGATTTGCGCACTCTACACCGTGGTTGTAGTACATAATATAAATTTATGTTACACCAGTGCTCCTGCTCCCTCCAAAACCACATATTATATTATGCACATATCAAATATTATTATTCGTAATTGATAAGAAAACATTACAACTGGAATTTATTATTTTTAAATAGTAAATTATTTTATACACTACAGTTCATTCAGCTTCAAAATGGCGTTTCAAAAATTTTATTCACATAATAAAATAGGAATTATTTTTAAATACTCTGTACATGAATAACAAACTGAATCTAGGGCTGATGCAATGGATTCATTATTAAAATCTTACTACAGTGTTACATTAAAAATCATTCGGTTTAAATTCTAAGCCACATCTCACTATTGCATCAATGACCCTAGAGCAGTAATACACATAAACGTGTTATGTCTCACAGTTGAAATATAAAATGTTTACACGATGTATTATTAAGAAGACATAAATTTATTCTTATAAAGTAACTTACTCTGATCATAACATTACACGTCAAATTCCTTTACACTTTAAAGTCCACATTTATTAAGATTATGTACAGTAGGTTAGTTATCTACTTATTTTAGGCGTACACAAACAAGTTGGTAAAATAAAAATATATTTTGCACAAACTATAATATATAATATTATGTGCTTTATTTAGTGGAAAATGTTGAATGTGC